CAACTAATGCATCCGTCCCTGCGCTCTTGTCGGAATACTACCGCCTAGCCCTTCCAAGTGCTTCGGTGCAGGGCTTCGTGTAGTGGGGGATTAGGTTACGCCGCACGGAGCAGCGCGTCTGTCCCTGCCTCTTGGGGGTCACGAGACTTGTCAGCCGCGGACACCCCGGGAGTCATTCGCGAGAATTAACTATTTAGGAAGCTTGCTTCAGAAAAGGAACATTCCTAGAGCGATGGTTCTTAACCTTTTCGGTGGGGGAGGGGTTTATGGCTGTTGAGCATTTGAAAACCTAAAGGTTTGTGCATCCGTGCGTGCTCGTAGAGGACAAGTTCGCATACGATTTCCCGTGCGTGGGAGCCCTCCCTAAAGGCCCATCCTCGGACCACTGTGTTAGGGACTCCTTATCCAGCTCGATTGCACACACAAGGGTTAAAGAAAGGTGGTCCCTCGGGCGCCTAGGTGGCTCAGCTTTTGACTTCAGCTCGGGTCATGATCTCCAGCCCCGCCGTCGGGCTCTGCGGACAGCTCAGAGCCTGGAGCCTGCTTCAGATTCTGTCCCCCCACGCTCTCTGCCCCTCCCCCACTCGCATTCTGTCTCACTCAATAAACATTTTTTAAAAATTAAAACAAAAAACAGTAGTCCCTGCGTTGGCCATTTAAAAGAAAGCCTGATGTATTCCCTGCCCTTACGGTGACTTCCCCTAGGAATCCAAAAAGGTAGATGTTGCCAGATGTTTGGTCTTTCCCCTGAGGATAGATAATGAAAAAAATGTCCAGCCAGGAAACTGGATTAGTTGTTGCCTGACTTTGTCTCACTGTCCTTGTTAATTGTATGTGTAACTAGTCCAAGAACATTGACTAATCATGTGTCATCGCGTGGGCTCTAATGCCGTGCTCATTAGTGGTTTTGTTTTTATCAGTTTTTGCAGTACAGCTCCTTCTGGGTGATAACGTGACTTATCAGAGCTATCCGTTTGGTTAGTGCCGGAACCCAGGTCTCACTTCAGCCTGATGTCCCATTCCACAAGCCCTTTCGACAACCGTTGAACACCTGCCTATGCTGGGGACTCCACAGATGTTTGGTGCCGAGCCAAGTGGCCACTCATGTCTGCCGTCTGTCCCAGGTCAGCCTTCCTATTCTTTACAGGGACTGTCCTAGACTGTCATCGCTTAGACCTTTCCAGCCACCTTCCTCCCTGTTCCACCTGCCAACCCCCAGTCTCACCTCACTTCATCTGTAGTTGGGTTATAGGTACCCAACTAGTTACTAAAAGAACGAACCCATCTGTTTCCTTATTGAGAGAAACATTATCCCAGACTTTCCTGATCTGATCAGCAGCTTGTGAGTCTTCGTATTTGGTTCTGTGTGAAGCTCATTCATCCCAAAATGTCTCTAGTGCCTGTTTGTTTGTTTATTTATTTATTTATTTATTTAACATTTTTATTTATTTTTGAGACAGAGACAGAGCAGGAGCAGGGGAGGGGCAGAGAGTGAGAATCCCAAGCAGGCTCCTTGCTGCTGGAGCTGACCCCGACTCCAGGCTCGAACCCACAAAGCCACGAGATCATGACCTGAGCCGAAACCCAGAGTTGGATGCTTAACTGACTGAGCCCCCCAGGTCCCCCTCTAGTGCCTTCCTGTAAATGGAACGGTAATTGTTAACGTGGAAGTAGAAATGCTAGATTACTTGCTGTGTAATATCTGGGTTGTTACCACATAAGAGGCAGACAGCTTAGGTAAGTAGGGGTAGCCTTTCGCGCAGGTACAGGTGACCCTTGAACAATGCAGATTTAACCGCACGGGTCCACTTAGGTGTGGATTTTTTTCAATAAATACAGTATAGTACTGTATTTTTCTGATGACTTTCTTAACACTCTTCTGTCTAGCTTATTTTATGCTAAGAATACAGTGTACAGTGCGGATACAAGCTCTGTCAACGGTTAATTGACTATGATTTGAGTAAGACTTCCAGTCAACAGTGGTTCGGTTTTGGGGGAGTCAAAAGTTATACTTGGATTTTTGACAGGGGAGGCTGTCAGTGACCCTTACTCCCGTGTTCAGGGATCAACTGTATTTACCATTGAAATGTAGCGAGTTAAAATCACAACTTTTATTCTGGAAATAATACAAAAGTTTTCTTGTGAGGCGAAGCAAAATAGTACATTTACTTCTTAATTGCGAATTGTAGCGTGAGGTGATGGATGCCTTTCTAATGCAAATAAAAAGATTTATGCATTTAATAGCACTTTGGCTGACTTGCACATTATGTGTTAAAATTCCCTTCTTACTGAAATGACAGCGTTGAACTGGCTATAACTCAGGAGAATAGAGGCAGTTTGCACACAGACCTCTATCTCCATTGAATTTGGCTGCGTCCATTTAGGGAAGGTCTTTGGGAAATTTATGAAATAGTTCTCCAAAGGTGTTAGACAGTGTTTCTGAAATCCCTTTCACTTTGCTTAGCCACCGAGGATTTTTATGGTTGCCCAGGCTGGGTCATTTTCTTATGTTCAGTTAATAAATACCCACACCTGTTGGTTTACCTGCTTCACCTAATTCAAAAGGAGTTCATGGAGTCCTGCCTTTGTGCTGCTTGAGTTCCACTAGTGGACCGGAACCGCCACTGGGTCGGCTTCACACTGTGATCAAGTCATTAACGTCGTGGACAATTGAGGTCTAGTTTAACCCGGTGAAGAAAATTGCAAGATAAGATCTGTTGAATGGCCGCTGTGTCCTGGCCTCTGGTTCAGGTAGACTTGAACTTTGAGATTGGAATCATTCTCTATTAGGACGTAACAGAAAGCGCGGTTCAACGGGAAGCCTACAGGGCCACTCTGCTCCCGATGTTACGGAGTTCACATATGAGATGAACCGTCAGCCCCACAGTGGGGCTGCTGGTGTGGAGTAGGGCTGCAGAAGTTCCTGACTAATAGAAGCCACCACCTCCTTTGTATCTGCAATGGCCTATTCATTTATTTTTAAGGAGGCTTCATGCCCCGTGCAGAGCCCAATGTGGGGGCTTAAGCTCACAGCCCTGAGATCCAGACCTGAGCTGAGATCAAGAATCAGATACTTAAGCGACTGAGGCACCCAGGTGCCCCTGCAGTGACCTCTTTATTATTTTTTTAATTTTAGAGAGCATCCAAGCGGGAGAGAGGAGCAGAGAGAGAGAGAGAGAGAGAGAATCCCAAGCAGGCTCCACTCTTCACAGAGCCTTCCATGGGGCTTGATCTCACGACCCCAAGATCATGACCTGAGCTGAAATCAAGAGCCTGATGCTCAACCGACCAAGCCGCCCAGGTGCTCTTTAAATCTAGAAATGACCTCTTAAAATCTAGAAACGTACTTGTACTTTTGTCTATTATTTTGGGCCATTTGTCAAAGAGAATTTGTGCCCCGTCCTGGAGTATCTTTTATCTAAAGAAAAAGGGAAAAAAAGGTTAGAACAAACTGGTAGAGAGCTGGCAGTGCCGAAAAGAATATCACGTGCTGCTTTCCTCATCCCATTCTTCGGTTCCCAAGGAGGGTGACTGAGTATTGATAAAACGATATCCACGGTCAGGAGGAGGTAGGTGCTAAAGGCAGCAGAATGAAGAATTTGGGGTCGTTATTCCCAGACCATAGAGCATGGAATTCTTAAATGATTGTGCCCCCAAACGCCATAGTTCTCAGAAGATACGCATTTCCCCGGACTCGTCTGAGGTCCAGAAATCCACAGGGTGATGTGTCTCCAACAGACACTCCCCAAGAGCCTTGTTTCCTCCCATGCTGCTTCTTGCCTGAACTTGAAGCTACTGGGAGCCCTCCTCCTTTAGTTGTTGGGAAGGCAGAGGCTATCCAAAGTGAGAGAGGAAAGGGAGATGAATAAAATCCGGAGACGAAGAACGTGAGCTCTGGCATTAATTGCCCCTTGATTCCCGAGCAGGCTGCTTGCCAGCTGGATGGCCTTGGACAAGCTATTGAACTCTTGGACAAGAGCTCACTCA